AATCAGCTGCTATATTAATACACATATTATACACTGAACATGTACAACATACCCTCTCAGTGGTGGTGGCACCGGAGGGCACCCGAAAAAATGTTGGGGAGGCATCGCCCCCCAAAAACCCTTTGCCCCTCAAAATGCAAGAAATAGCGTTTCAGAGAGTCTACATATCAGATCTCGCCCCTCATGCAAGATTTCGTGCCGCCGCCCCTGCCTCTTTCCCATCAACATCATTTGACAGTACTACCTGAACCATTTAAAGGGCGGCAGTCGTCGTGTCGCGCCCTATTCGATATGGTACTCATAGCGACGTATACAGCGCGTGTAAAATACATTGTTTATTTACACGAAATTCGAACAATCGCTGCGTGACGACCACCGCCCATTAATTAACAGTAATGCTGGTTTCCTTTTTCATATTGATAGTCAGCACAAAGTGTCGCGGGTTATGCAACGACTGAAATTATAGTAATTCAGAAGTTTAAGCCGAGTTCAATACAATCAATTCAATACTAATTTTATGATCTCGGTTCGGTTGTTGTGTGTGTCACTGTTTATGGCGTAACATCACTTCAATTACTTAACTATCGTATCTCTGCTCTCATTATTCTGTCCCAGCTAATTAATCAGCGTTTATTTGCTTTACTCGTTCTCCTCGTTATATAATGCCTCCGGCATTTACAAAATCGCGAATTGGTATACTTTAAATCCCGCAAATTAACATCGCGTGTACGCATCCGGTCAAATAACCGAATGCACTCACTCGTTGCTGATAGTTCATCGCATCGCTTTTCTCTACAATATATTACTGTTCATTTATTTTGTATTGACCAAGTTTATTTTCAAAAATGGCACGAACAAAAATTGGGAAAAGACCGATTGAATGATAAGCGAAACCTGAATAGCAGAAAGCGTATTTTTTACTACGAAACACAGTCTCTCTACTAAACAAAGTCGGACCACGGGGAGCCCAGGAACTGTGATCCGAACTGTACGCAGTCTCTATGGGGGGGGGGCTTATCGGCTGGTATCTAGTGTAAGAAATAGACAAGGTATGAAGGCTCCAGCCAGCTCACATTTTTTAAACTCGAAAAAACAGTCAAACAGAAGGAAAAATAAAATCTAAAATAAAAAAAAAGCTTGAAGAATATTGGTTGATCTTTCAAATTTCGCCAAAGCAAAACCTATATTTTACCGATATCTGCAGTTGATCAGTTGAGTGTGCCTAACCAAGGCGTAAACTCGGTGTGGTTCGTAATCAGTCTTGTGAAGTAGTGATTGGTTGTTGACACATTCTGAATAGGCCACGCCTCCAACTGTGCCGTGCTTTCGGGGAAACCGTTAATTATTCGTAAATGAAGTAAATTTTTGTAGTTTTGTGATAGGTATTTTTGATGGTTAAAAACCTTTCACTTAGGTAACCGGGGTTCGGTCGTTTCCACGCTAGGCTAACAAAAGACACACACAAGCTTCGTTCATGTTCCCAAAACGATTCTCTGCCAAGTCCCTGGTTTTCACCCGAGATAGCATTAAATCAATCTTTATTTCTTGTCACCCCTTAACCAATTACAATCAGTATAAGAGACTCCAAGGCCTTGCCTTCCAACAAACAACCAATCACATGAAAGTTTTACACATCATAATCAATTAATTACTCGTCAAGCTGTCTAGAAAAAACATTTCTATACATTGTCAACGCTAACTAATATTGATGGGGTAATAATCTCGCACTAACATTCCACAAAGATACTACCTTAGTTAAAATCGCAAACAACATTGGTTTAGAATTACAGCTACTGTCTTGTATCTTAAAAACTGCAGAGTCATAAGATGTTTTTGGTTGATTTCGACCAGCTCGCCATCTGGTCTTGTCATTAACCTTTATCAGTATATGTCATGGCAACCACTGTCAAACTGACTGAAATATAAATCATGATAGTTTTCTTGATTTATTCTAGTGATATCCGTAAAATAAAAGTAAGTCTTTTGCGAAATTTGTAAGAGCAACTAAATTAAATATTGTTCAAGCTAGTGTTTTTATAGATTTTATTTTTCATTCTTTTCGTCTGTTTTTTCGAGTTTGAAACGACGAATTTGGCCGCATCCTGTTCGATATGGGACTCATTGCGACGTATACAACGCGTGTAAAATACATTGTTTATTTACACGAAATTCGAACAAGCGCTGCGTGACGACCATCGCCCATTAATTAACAGCCATGCTGGTTTCCCTTTTCCTATTGATAGTCAGCACAAGTTAAAAGTTACAATACTATCAATACGATACTAATTTTATGATCTCGGTTTGGTTGTTGTGTGTGTCACTGTTTATGGCGTTACCATCATCCCTTCAATTACTTAACTATCGTATATCTTGCTCTCATTATTCTGTCCCAGCTAATTAATTAGCGTTTATTTTGCTTTACTCATTCTCTCATTTTCTCTTTACTCATTATATAATGCATCCAGCATTTACAAAATCGAAAATGTGTATACTTTAATTAAACGTAATGGAAGCAACGGATGTGCAAACTAAAAACCATAATCCATGATATAATTTCACCATGTATTTTTGTCATATAAGGAATGCCAGAAATTTCCACGTGTTAGTATAGGAAAAAGTGTTCATCTAATTTTAGAGTCTTCTATTGCAGGATTTGGCCGCGCATGTGTCGTCATTAATTTTGTGTATATCTGATTCCCAGAAATATATTGCAGATACGCATTTACGAATGAAATGTTGTGCATACACATAAAAAGAACTTGAATCAACTAACTGGTCACGTGACTTATTGATTGATTGTGCGTGCGTGCACGAATCTAATTCACAGTGATAAATGAGTGGTTGTTTTCGGACACCTAGTCATAGATCACACCTGGAAGCCAAGATATTGCCCCACATATCAATCTCAATAAAATTATTTTCTTTGTAAATTGTAAATTATAATTATTTCATTTTTTATTTTCATTGCGTTTACGAAACAATCATTATCAGCTACCAACAACATATTTTAAAACCTACGTACCAGTAGGAACAGATCAACACGAGATCTCGCTAATAAAAAGCACGCCAAAAATACGCGTAGTAAAATCTTCTGGCGTTTCACCACGAAATGGAAGTGTGTGGTTACCGTGCCAGAAATACTATCGGTGTTCTAACCGCAAGGAACTCTGGGAATGAGAATGCTCATATATATTACGGCAGTCATACTATGAGTTTGAGTTATATAATCTGCTGCTGAACTACTAATCAGTGATTGCATTTCATTTTACTATTGCGTAGTTGCAGTTACTATTATTGTTGTTATTTGCAGCTACTGCTTCCATTATAAGCATATCTCAGGGTCTTAATAAAAAAACATCTCCTTACTCATGCCATGCCATTTATTAACAAGGATTTAATAATTTAGTATTAATTTTCTTTTATTGAAACTTAATGGTTTTGTGTGAATTTCTCGCATAAACAGAAAAGGTGTGTGTGTGGGGGGGGGGGGTCAATGAAGCACGTTTGATGTTTATCAGTATATCCAATAATCTAATTAATCTAAATCATCGTCATCTCAATATATTGTTCCATCCTACAATCATGAAAACTGCAAGTGAAAGTGCTGCCAGTGCGTGACAAAATTTATATTCCATTTTTAGAACAACTTGATAGACGTATGTGGCTATCCGAGGGCGGACATCCGGGCATTTTCACCGCCTGGCAACCATCGCGGTGAAAACAAAGGCCAAAAACTAGCAGAAACGGTACTTTGGGATGGTTGTTGAGACTCCCCTGAACAGTGTAACAAGATTGGCCTGCGTGTGTAACATATATAAATTTGGTTGTTCAGGATTACTTCAAAGTTGAGTTTGTGTTGTTTTTTCAGCAGCGCGCACAGAGCCCATAGAAATGCATGGC